ATCAACAATCTGTGTTATGCAGATGACACAACCCTGCTTGCTGAAACTGAAGAGGACCTGAAGCACCTGCTGCAGAGTGTCAAGGACTGCAGCCTCCAATATGGATTGAGGCTCAATGTCAAGAAGACAAAGATTCTCACCACTGGACCAATTGGCAGCATCAGGATGGTACACAGCTTTAGTTTGCTTGGCGCCACAGTCAACACTCTTGGCACCAGCAGCCAGGAAATTAAAAGGCGCATTGCCATGGGAAAGTCTGCTGTTGCGGACCTCTCCAAAGTACTGAAGAGCAATGGTGTCTCTCTGGAGACTAAGGTGCATTTGATACAGGCCATGGTCTTGACAATCACTTATTATGCATCAGAGAGTTAGACAATGACCAAGGAGGATAGGAGGAGAATTGATGCCTTTGAGCTGTGGTGCTGGAGAAGATTCATCCTGGAAAGGGTTAAACAGGGTGGCTCCTTGGAGGCAAGGTTTCTGAGGCTCCGTCTACCATACTTTGGACATGTTGTGAGGAGATACTGGTCCTTGGAGAAGGACATCATACCTGGGAGGGTGGAGGGAGAGCGCAGAAGGGGAAGGCCCTCTATGAGGTGGATTGATCCAGTGACTGGAATAATCGGGATGGGAGTGTTGGAGACAGTGCAATTGCCACAGGACAGAGCAGAGTTTAGGGCTGTTGTACATAGGGTCGCTATGAGTCGCAAGCGACTCAACGGCACATAACAACAACAACAAGTGTTTGATTTTCCATTTAAAATCTCTTGTGACACTAAGCATTTCTGTGTAAACATTTCTATCTCCAGTAAATTGTGTATTGCAGGAAAATGGAAGAATGTGGATTTCAACAGCAGAGGAGATGGAATGTGGGGTGATGGTGGTGCCCCTAACTTCTGTGTTGTTCAGTGATCAATCATACTTTTGTGATGTAGGATTCTGTCTGTGTTAAGGCTAAGGAGCCCTGGTGGTACCTAATTTATTGCACTGCTAACCAACAGGTCAGCAATTGCAATCCTCCAGCAGCCCTGAATGAGAAATACAGGCAGTCTTCTCCCATAAAAATTTACAGTTCCAGGTACCTGATGGAGCACATTTGTGTTGAGATCTTCTCAATGGCAGTGGGGACTGGTGCCCTGATGGACCAAGTCTATGTTGAGATCTCAATGGAAGTGGGTACTGGTGCTAAGGTCAGTCATGACTCAGTAACTCAGCACAGAACCAAATAAAACACTGCTTGGTCCTGCAGCCTTTGACAAGCTCTTCTGTGCTAAAACCAGTCAATAGTTTCAGTCACTGTGTCTGTCAATCCATCTCCTAAAAGGTCTTGTTTGCTAACTTTGTGCTATACCAAGCATGATCTCTTTTTTTCAGGGACTGGCCCCTCCTGATACTGTGTCCAAAGTATGTGAGATGAAGTCTTACCATCCACGTTGCTAAGGCACATTCATTCTGGCTGCATTTCTAAGACAGATTTGTTTGTTAGGATGTTTTTGGCAAAGACACATCTAGCTGCTATTAGCTTTTTGACATATTAGGTTTAGGCCAACTCTTAATTCAGGAGACCAAGTTGTCCTGAAATACATTATTTTTTTTGGGGGCGGGTAGGTTAAAAAGCATAGGTTTCCATATTATTTGTGACACCTCTAGGACATGATCCAGTAAAACTTTCTATTAATGAAACACAAACCATGGGTCTATTTAGAATTGAATGTAATTCCTCCTATGGAAAAAGTTGGCTTTTAATTTCATTTTTAATTGAAAGGTAAAACTAAAATAGCTTCATGCTGCTAGTGATTACAAATGATTTTGTAAAGTATGGTTTTAGGGATTTCAAACTTCTTTGGTTTGATAAACCCTATAATCTGAACTGAAAGAGTTTTGGTGGCACAATGGTTAAAAAATTTGGCTACTAACTACAAGATCAATTGAACCTACAGTGTGGGAGAAGAAGGAAGCATTTTGCTTCTTTAAAGATTACAGCCTTGGAAACTTGACAGGCAATACAATCTGTCAGGGTTGCTATTAACCAGAATCCATCTGATGGCATATTGTTTTTTTCTTAAGTACATCATGTTTTAAACGACAACATTTTTAATTTTGCTTATTTTTTAAATTTTGCTTATTTTATAGCCACTCCTTTTGTGCTATTGCTTTTGATTTTTTAAATTTTGAATTTGTGTGTATACAAAATTTGTAAACATTGTGTTTCACACTATCCTCTATTCACATGGTATTTCATACAATCACTTCCAATTATGATGTTCTATAAGACCAACCATTTTTTAACTATGTTCTCTATTAACCTGTTTCTTCATATCCCTGCCAGATCTTTCCCATTGTCTTTACCCTCTCCAGTCACGTACCAAATTGTGTGACCCCATGATTTGCCCCAGCCCATCCTCATGGTTTTGCTCCCACCTCAGACCTCCACACACATTTTACTAGTTATCCTTCTATTTTTACAATAATGGCCTATCCATTACTGTTTATCCTTAGGAGACTGACTTATCTCACTCTGCATAATGCTATCCAGTCTCTCTCAAGTTATGTAGTAATTTTCTAATTTGTTGTTCTCCAGTGCTGTGTAGTATTCCATCATATGAACGCACCACAGTTTCTCAGTTAATTCGACTGTGGTTAGACATTTGGGCTGTTGCCATGTTCTTGTGATTTTGAGTAACGCTGCTATGAACACTGGTGTACAAATCACTGTTTGTGCCTCAGTTCTAATTATCTCTGGGCATATTCCTTGCAGTGGAATAGCTGGGTCATATGGAATTTCTAGTTCAGCTTTTTGAGAAAACACCAAACTGTCTTTCAGACTGGTTGTATCATTTTACAATCCCACTAACTGTCTGAGTTCCTATCTTTCCACATTCTCTCCAACTTTGCCACTGCTAGGGGGGTGAGACAGTATCTTATTATGGTTTTGATTTGCAGCTCTCTTATTGCCAGTGATTTTGAGCATTTCTTCATGTGCCTATTTGCCATCCAAATGTCTTCCTCTGTGAAAAGTCTTCCTTTCCTGTGCTGTCCCTCCACCCTTCCAAGCATGATAGCCCTCTCGAGAAACGATTGTGATGAAAATGTAGAATTGGGTAAGGTTTCAACCTGTCACTATGTGTTGGAGTTGACTTGATAGCACCTACCCACAATAATGAGTTGTAATTGATTGGATGGAGCCTAAAACCAACAATAATGGGGTTTTTTTGAAATCTGCTCTCCCAACTGTAGTACCAGATCTTGTGCAGCTGCGTGAGTTTGAAGAAAACGACCTTATTCGACCAACTGTACCATCAAAATCCATTTGGAATTTATCTGTCTTGCTTGCATAATTATATATAAAGATCCTTATTACCTCAAATTTGTTTTCCTTGATTTCAGTATGCCTTCTGTTACCATAAAAACACATGGAACCCCATAAAATTAATAGGAAATACACATGCACACATCTAACTCTTGGCCTGTACACTTTTGGGCTTGGATCTAATTTAGGAAAAACACGCTTTATCCTCAAACTAGAGGATTAGAATTCTTTTTATCCTCATAAATATTAAAAGGAGTTCTCATAACGTAGTCCCTGGGAGTTGCACTACCCCAAAGACACACCATTATGGCAGTTTGAATCCATCTGTGGATACGAAGGAGAAAGAAGTGCAATGTGCTCCCTTAAGATTTACAGTCTCTAAATTGTGATGGGGTGTGTGTTTGTGTGTGTGATTAAAGTTGGCTCCTAATTTGCAGCAATTACGTTTTTAAGTTTGATAAATATTATATATCATTACCACAGATAACATAAATTTGACCATGTATGGTTTATAATTGGTTGAACATCAATTAATATGTAATACAGTTAAAACTGTGTTCCTTTCACATGAAATAATGGATTAATTTTATACTTCTGGTCACATTTAAGATGAAAATAGCCAAAACGGTTACTTTTAAGAAGAAAAATTTTGGAGACTTAAAATATGACTGAAGGAAAACAAAATTAAACCAAAACCAGTGTCTTACTTTAATTGGTTCAGGCTGCATCACAGGTGCAGGCACGGCAATGGCACTTGGAGCATAAACCTGATGATATGTTGTTTGAACTCCATGATCAGAATAAGGCTATTCCAAAAGAAAGAGGGAGAATTCGGTATTTATTTTTTTTAATGAATTAATAATACTAATCCAATATTTACAATACACTAGGTAATTTACTATTTAATGGATAAACACAGATTAAACATACATTTTCTATCTTTAATATATAATATTTAGAGAAGCAGAGAAAGAAAACAGTCACAAATAACATAATGTAAGCGACATCTATAAGAATGTATGGAAACAAAGACAGAAGCTACTTAGTTTATTCTGAAAGAGTGGTCAGGGAATATTTCCTAATGGAGATCATGCTTGAACTTGAAAAGTGAAAGAAAGTGGGAATAATATGAGCAAAACAAAAGGCAAGAGAGGTAGAGAGAAGAGTATTAACAAATGTATAGAAGCAAGTAAGAACATAGTTCATCTTGGAAATCTGCCTTGTTTATTACGACAGGAAGGAAGACTACACACTAAGATAGTTGAAAAGTGAGACAACAGAACTATAGGATAGAGATGTATTTGTAAAAGCAGATTTATGGCTTCCCCCAAAATGACAGAACTGTTCACTGTGATATGCAGTGTCAGAAACAAGTCTGATGTTTATGTAATGGTGTGTTGTTGTTGTTGTTATGTGCCGTCGAGTCATTTGCGACTCAGCGACCCTATGTACAACAGCCCTAAACCCTGCTCTCTCCTGTGCCAATTGCACTGCCTCTGACACACCCATTCCGATTACCCCAGTGACTGAATCAATCCACCTCATAGAGGGTCTTCCCCTCCTGCGCTGTCCCTCTACTCTACCCAGCATGATGTCCCTCTCCAAAGACCTGTCTCTCCTTGCAACATGTCCAAAGTATGTCAGACGAAGCCCCAGAATCCTTGCCTCCAAGAAGTAGCCTGGTTTAACCCTCTCTAGGATGAATCTGTTTGTTTTCTTGGCAGTCCATGGTACATTCAATACTCTTCTCCAGCACCACAGCTCAAAGTCATCAATTCTCCTTCTGTCCTTCCTAGTCATTTTCCAGCTCTCTGATGCGTAACAAGTGATTGCAAAGACTATGGCCTGTATCAGGTGCACCTTCGTCTCCAAAGAGACACCGTTGCTCTTGAGTACTTTAGAGAGGTCCCTAACAACAGACTTTCCCATTGCACTATGTTTTTTGATTTCCTGGCTGCTGGTGCCAAGAGTGTTGACTGTGGAGCCGAGCAAACTGAAGCTGTGAACAATCTCAATCTCTGCCATCCATCCTGATGCTACCAATTGGTCCAGTGGTGAGAATCTGTTGTCTTCTTGACATTGAGCCTCAGTCCATACTGAAGGCTGCAGTACTTGACCCTCTGCAGTAAGGGCATGACGTTTAAAGGTGAAGGGAGAAGGTCTGTAGAAATGGCTAGAAGTTTATTCCATAAAAATCTGTGTTATCTGTAGGAATTCCAGTAGACATGTCCAGTGCTTAATGGTAGAGAGCTTGAGTAGCACTGTCCAATAAAAATACAATGTGATCCACATATTGTTAGGTGCCGTTGAGTCGTATACGACTCACAGAGACCCTATGAATGAAAGGCCTGAGCACTAATATACACTGATATACTGATCCACATATATAATAAATTTTTTTTTCACTGGCCTTATTAGAAGAAATATAAATAAACAAGTAAAATGAATGTTTAACATTGCTTATTGTGTTGTACTGCTGAATGCGGTCATGTCAAGCATGACTCATAGTGACCATAAGTACAAAAGGCCTGAAACCTTTCTATAACTACCGTCATTTATCAAAATTTATAGTTTCCAGAGGCATGTTGTTTATGAAGTGGTTGCCACGCCTGATTCCAAACCTGTCTTAAATATTACTTATGTAGGCCAAAATATTAAGTCATTTAAACATGTAAGCAGTATAAATATTACTCATATTTTTCACACTACACTTTTTTCATATTATATTTTCAAAATCTCATATTTTGCACTTACAACAAAATAATATGAATTAGTACTTTCATAGCTACATGGATCAGATAATGCAAGTATAAAACTTAGGTATGAAAATGGCACTAGAGATGCAGGTATAGTTGAGAACACTATAGTGAGTATATAGCGTGTAAGAATATGAAATCATAAGAAAGATCGACTTACAAAAGAAGGTAAAAGGATCACTACTATTATGTGCCATTGAGCAGCCTATGACTCATACATACCTTAGGAACAATGGCTGTTAACCTTGTCCTATCCTAAGACAGTCTCACCATCTCTGATTCACGTGTCCCCATTGGCACAGTCACTGGGTCAATCCATCTCATCCAGGGTCTTCCTCTCCTGGGATATCCCTCCACCCTTCCAAGCATAATGTCCTTCCCCAAAGTCTTGCCCCTTCTGACAACATGCCCAAGGTATGTGAGATGGAGCTTCAAAATCCTTGCCTTTAAGTAACAATCTTGTTTCACCCTTGCTAGGACAAATCTGTTTGATTTCCTTGGCAATCCATGGCATTTTCAATACTCTTCTCCAGGACCACAACTCAAAAGCATCAATTCTTTTATCATCCTAAATCATTATCCAGCAAAGGAAGAAATTCAGAAGACCATGGCATGGATCAGGAGCATCTTAGTCTCTAGACTTACATTATTGTTCCTTAGCACTCTTTTTCCCCCCCCTCCCTTAGCACTCTTGAGAAAGCATATTTTCCTAATGCCACTCATCTTTATTTCCTGACTGCTGGGGTCAAGAGATTGTGGATTCAAGTAAGATGAAGTTGGTAACAACCTCAATCTTTTCTCTCTAATAATGCTGCCTATTGGCCTAGTGGGTGATAATCTTTGTTTTCTTGATGCTGATATGCAATCTATACCAAAGGCTGCAGTTTTGATCTTCTTTTTTCTTGTTTTATTTAAATTTATTATTAATTTCAGTAAAAATTTACAGAGACTTTGGATTTCCATTCATTCACTGTTGCACTTTTCTCCCCTCCTAACCCTCCCCTCTAGTACACTACCTTTTTGGAAAAGTAAAAGAAAAATTCATTCATTGTTTTACAAACCCTTCCCCAGGTCCACTCCACCATGTAGCCTTCGCTCTAGACTCCTGCCATGACAAAAAATAACTTATCACATATCCCTCTTAAACAGTTTTCTCCCTCATCTGTTTCAATGCAGTATACATTGTTGAACCCATCTTTTTTAGTATCTCCCCGACCCCAAGGTCAGTCCTGTTTTACAACAGTAGCACCATGCAGCATTTGTCCTTTTGTGACTGAGATACTTCATTCAGCATAATGTCCCCCAGGGTCACCCATTTTGAATATTATTGCATAAGTTCCTTGTTTTCAATGCAGCAAGTATTCCATTGTGTGACTATACCACAGCTTCTCTATCCATTCGATTGTTGATGGGCACTTAGGTTGTTTCCAACTCCTTGCTATTGTGAACAAAGCCACGATAAACATGGGTGTGCATATATCTGCTTGGATGTCAGTTATGGTCTCTTTGGGGTATAATCCCAGTAGTGGAACTGCTGGGTCAAATGGTATCTCTATTTGTAATTTTTTGAGAAAGCGCCATACCACCTTTCACAGTGGTTGCACGTCTTTGATCTTTTGTATCAAACATTTCAAGTCTTCCTCAGTTTTGGTAAGCAAGTTTGTGTCATCTGCAAAATGTAGTTGGATGATTAGCATTCCTCCAAGACACGGAGAAAGGATACATCCCTGACCCACTCATTTATTTTTAACCATGAAGTGTTCTCTTAATTTTGAGTGATGAAGATCCTTGCACTGTTTGGACAACAGCTTCTTGGTCTAGGTATAGATTCACACAAACACAATCAAGTATTCTGAGATTCTAATTCTTCTCAAGTTTAGCCACAATTTGCTGTGCTCCACACAGTGAAATGCCTTTGTATAGTCAAGAAAACATAGACAGACATCCTTCTGGTATTCACTGCTTTTAGCCAAGATCCTTCTGATTTCAACAAAAAAATGGTAATAAAACACTGGGCATTTCTCCGCAGTCTTAACTGAAAAAGAAAATTCAAGCCTCGAGTTCCAAGACTAAAAACTTCTATGGGCAAAATGTTGAATGACAGAATAAAGAGAAGATGGAAGGAATGCACAGAATGACTGTGCCAAAAAAAAAAGTGGTCAATGATCAATAATTTTAAGAGATAGTATGTGATCAAGAACCATTGTTACTGAGAGAAGTAGGCCAGGCTGTACTGAAGGCAAATAAATAAGGCTCCTGAAATTGATGGAGTACCAACTGACATGTTTCAACAGATGTAGCTTTAGGTGTTCCCATGTCTATTCCAAGAAATAGGAAAGACAGTTACCTGACCAACTGACCAAAAAAAAAAATATCTGTATTTGTTCTTATTCTAGTAAAAGGTGATTCTAGCAATATTATGAGATGATTATATACTATCATTAATATCACACACAAGTAAAATCTTGCTGAAGGTAAGCCAAATAAAGCTGGAGCAATATTTTTATTAAAGAGAACTTCCAGGAAATTCAAGGTGGATTTGGAACTCTGCATTAAACAAGGAATATCACTGTTGATGCCAGATGGATCTTAGCTAGAAGCAAAGAATACTAGGAAGATGTGTGCATGTTACTATGAAAAGGTAATATTACGTGTGAATCATAATAAATTATGCATGCTATTGAGAGTAATGAGACTCCCAGAACATGTAACTAACTATATGTTAGAATAAAAGAACATGTGCCTAGAACAAAAAAAAGCAATCATTTGAATAGAACAAGGATATACTGCATAGTTTAAAATCAGAAAAGCTATTACTGCAGGGTTGTAGTCTTTCACTATATGTAGTACAACTATTCTAACTATCCATGTTCCATTGTATCGATGGCACTTAAAAAGAACAACAACATTCAAATTGCATGTTGAAAAAATAATCTGAGAAACTGGTCTGTGTAAAGCCATTAGGATTGGAGGAACATTCATGAACAACCTTGTGTTATGCAGGTGACATAACTTTGCTTTCACAAAGTGAAGAAGAGTTGAAGCACTAACTGAAGATCAAAGATTATTCCATATGATAGCAACTCAACATCAGGAAGCAAAAATCCTCACACTGGAACAATAAGCAACATAATGATTAATGGAGAAATGATTGAAGTTGTCAACAATCTCATCTTGCTTAGATTCACAATCAATACCTTTGGTACCAACACTTTAGTCTTCAAACTGATGTCACTGTACAATGTTTACAAACTTTGTATGCAAACCAACAGAAAAGAAAAATTACAAAAAAGTGATACAATTATTTTTTTAGTACTTTGGAGAGGTCTTTGACAGCAGATTTTCCCAAAGCAACATATCTTTCAATTTGTTCATAGCCACCACCGTAAGCATTGATTATGAGTCCAAATAAGATGAAATAATTGACAAACTCAACCTTTCTCCAACTATCATGATGCTGCCTACCGGTCCAGTGGTAAGGATTGCTTCTTTGATGTTGAGATGTAATCCATATTGAAAGCTGTAGTTTTGATCTTCAGCAAGTGTTTCAAGTCCTCTTTCAGCAAGCAGTGAAGTGATGAACAGAGATTTCAAAGGGAAGCTGAAGAAGGTAACATAAAGTATTATAACAAAATGTGCAAAGAGTTGGAGTTCGAAAATAAACAGGAAAAAAACTTTTGGCATTGGTCAAGCTGAAGGAACTGAAGAACAAGTTCAGGCCTCAAGTTTTAACAGAGAGGGATACTTTGGGCAAAATCTGGAATGAAGAAGCATCAAAAGATCATGGAAGGAATAAACAGAGTTATCGTACCAAAAAAAGAATAATATGACACAAATTACAGGAAGTAGCATATGATCAAGAACCAATGGTATTAAGATGTCCATTCATGTCTCAGCTCTTATTTCCTTGGGATATATTTCTACCTGTAGAATAGCTGGGTCACATGGGATTTCTATGTTCAGTTTTGTGTTGTTCTGTCTTCACTTTGATATATTTTTTTCCCTTTCTGCAAGCTGTGTTTGTTTTACATCAATTAGGTCTGCCACATAAGGTATAATTTACCAGAAAAGCTAATAACACAGAAATAACCTCATTAAAAGAGACAGCATATCAGTCTAAACAGAATGAACTCTAGAAAAATTAGTGTGACCTGAAAAGTAGCAGGAAGAGCTAACGGCAGATCCAGGAAGAAAATACATTCTTGTTAGAGAGTCAAAGGAGAAAGTACCAGCAATAAAGTGAACAATAAAAGCAAGATGCTTCCCCCTCCTCTCAATGTTTTTTAACATGTTCAAACCCTGTAACGTGAAATTTATTCTCTCACAGTTGGATGCAGTCTCAGAGAACATGCCTATATTCCTGGTAGGTGCTGGATCATGGGAAAAGACTGAAACCCATCCGTTCAGGTGGCTGATGTGTTGACTGTGTGCTCCTTGGTCAGTTGTGTTTGTGGGGCTCTGATTTTACTTGTCATAATGAGTAGTTCGTCAGATGGGATGATATGTTTAGTTTTTTAAAGAAATAACAAATCACCTACCACAGAGGTTGTGCCATTTTACGATCCTACCAGTAGTCTGTAAAAGTCCCAATATCTCTGCATCCTCTTCAACATTTATTGTTTGCTGTTTTGTTCAAACTTGCTATTGCTGCTGGAGTGAGGTGGTATCTCACTGTTTTGATTTGCATCTCTCTAACTTGTTAGTGATTCTGAACATTTCTTAATGTGTTTCTTGATCATCCAAATGAGTTTTTTCATGTCTTTTGCCTATGTGGGGATGGGTTATCAGTCTCTTTCTGTGGAGGCTTTGTTGCTGTTGTTATGTGCTATCCAGTCAACTATGACTCACAGTGACTCTATGAATGTTAAGTCCGAACTTTGCCTTATCCTGAGCCAGTCTCACTGTCTCTGACATACCTGCCACAATTACCACAGTCAAATCCTTCTTATCCAGGGTCGTCTTCTCCTGTGCTGACACTCTATTCTTCCAAACATGTCCTTCTCCAAGGATTGGTTCCTCCTGAAAACATGCTCAAGTTGTGTGAGACAGAGTTTCAAAATCTTTGCTTCCATGGACCAACCAGCCTCTCCAAGACAGACTTATTTGTTCTCTTGGCAATCCATAGTATGCTCAATACTCTTCTCCAGCACTACAGCTCAAAGGCATTGATTCTTTTTCTATCATTGTCTAGCTCTCTGATGCATAGCAAGTAATCAAGAAAACGATGGCCTAGATCAGGCACAGCTTAGTTTCTAAACTGACATTGTTGCTCTTCAACACTATCGGGAGGTCCTTGCCAGCAGATTTTCTGACTTGTTAAAAAAAAAAAAGCAACAGTTGAATGAGAATGGCCATATTTGACTTTTATCAACTTCACAGAAGGGAATCATCACCGTCCACAGCATCAGTAACACAAAACCAATTCCCATAAGGTTAGACATGTCCCCCAAACTCCTGTTCCTCTTTCTACTCATCTCAACACCATTCTTACTGTTTTAATAGGTGCAATATTCAATGTGACAGCTCACAGGCAACACAGAGCCATATTAGGGAAGTTAAAAGTTTACAAACAGATTAATAACTGAATACAGTAAAGACAGCTCCCAAAATGTGCATGCAGGCACCTCAGCCTCATGGATCTAAATATTCTCAATTTCTCAGTCCCACCAATATTGGCTCTCCATCCAAATGTCCAACAAAGTTCTTTCTCAGTCCTGCCAATATTGGCTTTCTGCACCCACACCCGTCTCTGCCACACAAGTCCCATCTCACGTCAATTCTCCAGTTTGGCCATGACTGATGCTGCCATTCATAGCATGTCATATTTTTTCCTGCCTCCTCTTCACCAAGGTAGGGGAAGGTCTCTTTCCTCTTCTCTGGTTGGGGATGAGTCCATCTCTGAAGCTCAAGCTGTTCAATGTACTGGTAAGATGAGCCAGTACTCTTGTAGTCTGTTAAGACTGACCAATCCTCTTATGGAATGATAGCCAAATCCCTTTGTGGATAACCCATTATGCCCCAGTTGCATAGTCTGACCCATCCACACAGTCAATCATCCACACTTGAAAAGCCATAGTGAAAGAAAAACTCTATACAAATGCAACTTGTCTTTTGATTTCTTGCCTGCTGATGGCAGAGTGTTGTGGTGGATCCAAGTAAGATGAACTGTTAACAATTTCAATCTCTTCTCTGAAATGTTGTTACCAATTATATTGTCTGAATCTGTGAGCTTTATTTTTACTCTACTGAAGAAAGTTTTTGACGCACACAGAGATTTGATTTTAAGAAGATCCCATTCACAAATCTTGTTTTCTCCAGGTTGTGCATTTGGCTATATTTGGAAGCCTATTTATACCATAGGCCAGGGATTCTACTTTTGTTCCCATTTTGAATTGTCTGATCTTTATAATTTTATTCACAACAGCAAGAAAATGGAAGCCATCCAACTGCCCATTAACAAACTAATAGATTTGAGAAATTTTGGTACATTCACACAATAAAATACTATGCAGCACTAAGGAATAACAACTTTATAAAATACTATATGACTTGGGAAAGAAGAGAACATTTTGTTGAATGAAGTATCTCAGTTATACAAGGACAAATAATGCATAAAGCCACTATTGTGACTATAGGAAGGTAACTGAGTAAGATATGTATAAATGTTCAAAAGGGAAAAGGTAGAAAAAGAGGAAGGGGGGGAAAATCACCTAAATAGCAGAAGTTAGTGGTTGGAATGGGGTGAAATAATTGGAAAGTTTCAATGGGGGCTTAAAAAGACAGAGGGATAATAGGTATAGAGCAATGCTAACTAATTATATATAATATAATCCATGTGAATAATTACATAATACATAAAGTAGGTGCACAAAACATGATGTATATGAATTATTATATTCAAATCAATAATTTTAAAAATGAACTAATGGTAATGAATGAAGAAGGCACAGTGATAGTATTGGTTAAAAATGAGGTCCCAGGAATTGACTACCAAGTGCTGCACTCAACAAATGCAGCCCTGGCCATGTTCAATAGTATACACCAAGAAATTTGAAAAACAGCTATTTGACCAACTGACTGGAAGATATCCATATTTGTTCCTGTTCCCAAACTAGTAATACAGTGCACTGAAAGATGGTGCAAATTTCCTTATCCTTTATACTGATTTAAAATATAGCATGAATAATTCATGGTAAATAGAGTGACAGTTTGGAAATAAAAGGCAGATACTGATGACCATATTTGCAATTTGTATTTTTAAAATAAATTTAAAATTATGTATTACGAATCTAAACCTTTTCCTTTTTTACTTATTATATGATTTTAATTGGCAAAATGTTATTAAAATACAGAGTTGACAGACAAAACCAGAAAGGAAGCATTTATCATCTTACTATGTAAAGGAGACAGCATCAGGGTTTAGTCTAGGAACCAACCAGTTGATTCAGGGAATAGCTGAGAACTAGTTAAGAGTAAATAAGTTTTGGGAGCTCTCGTGGCTGGCGGAGTGGCAAGAAGCTGCACTGCAATCCCAGAGGTATGTGGTTCGAATCCACCAGATGATCTGCTGGAGAAGGAGGGACAATCTCCTCTTATACCAGTAATATTTGATTTGACAGTACACACACACAAAGAAATAGTAAAATTTAAAAAAAATGAGGAAGTTTTAAGATGCAGTATTCTTACATATAACAAAGGGGAAGACTGACGTGAATAAATCATGTGAAGCAGCTTCAAACAGTGTTTTTGAAAAAATGAAACAAAGAAAAGAAGTGTTAAGTTGAAGTGGTTAGAAGGCAATTTAAAGACTAAAACATACCTCCAGAACTGAAGTTTCCATCAGAGATAGTGGAGGAGGAATACACCCACCATCTTGTGCAATTTCCACTGGCTGATAAATAACCTCTGAAGGTTGCAGGTATAAGAATGGAGCAGAAGAAACAGGTGACTGAAACATAAAATCATAGTTCAAATTCAAATATGATCAGTTATTTCTATCAAATCAAATAATCTACCCAATAGATAAGCATTCCCTTTATGCTTTTTTAGTAAGTATTATTTCTGACGGATAGCACAGGAGTCTGTTAGCAACAGACTAGGAACTCAGTTGGTCTAAATTTTGATTTTGTAGATGTCATTAAAGAACTTTACTATTATAAATTCTGAAAGTTCCTATTGTCTCAGGAACTCAAATGTAAATTCCTTAAAGAATGAAAAAACCATTAAGTTCATTGTAAGTTATGTATAACTGGCTTAAATGTCTACTCTGCACTTTAACTGTAACATTCCATGAAAACGTCATTAAACAGTAATTTGTGGTGATCTATTATCTTCAAAAGTTGAGAAATGAACAAGAAAAAAATGAGCACTGACCAATAGTAATTATTTATATAGAACACAATGTATATGAATGATTGTATGAAAACAAACTTTAAACACTGAAAATAGAATATGAGCACAAGTCTAAGTGAAACAAACTTTAAAGTGAGGCTAGGACAGTGCTAAATTTTTCACTAACAGTGGGGGGAAAAAAGTATTTTGTCTGGTTCCTAAAATGCTTTTATTTACATTTTACAAGTAGATCACATCTGATCTTCCCAAAAGTTAGGACAAAGAAAGTTACAAAGGGATATACATCCATTTCATAAATGAGGAAACTGAGAATACTACGATTAAATTGATTCCAAAGGTGGCATAATTAATAAACAGAAGAACATTTAAAATGTAGCTTTACTGACTTTAATATTCACATAGTCTTCATGGAAACACAACAACAAAAGGCATTTTTAAATCAAATAATGAAAGTTAATTTATACCTGAGGAACACCCCACTGCCACTGTCCTGGTAGACATTGTGCAGAGGCCTAAAATGAGAAAAACAAAAAACCCCTCACAAATAAGACACACTCATATTAAAAATTAAGGTTAAAACTAGATATTCATATACAAAACAATGATGCTAGACTCTTTTATGTTGTTATGTGCCACTGAGTTGCCTGAGATTCAGCAACCCTATGTACCACAGATCTGAAACTTGCTCTATCCTGAGCCAGTCTTATAGCTAGCATTATTACCCCAGTTACTATATTACTTTATTACCTGTTACTGTATTCATCTATCTCTTCTGGGGTCTTCATCTCCTGCACGGTCTCTCCACAATTCCAAGCATGATGTCCTTCTCCAAAGACTGGTCCCTCCTGTCCACATGCCCAAAGTATGAGATGGAGCTTCAAAATCCAAGGAGAAACTTGGTTTCTTCTTTTCCAAGACAGACCTATTTATTTTCTTGGTGATACATAGTATGTTCAACACTCTTCGCCAGCACTACAACTCAAAGACATCAATTCTTCTTCTGTCATCCTTAGTCACGGTCCACTTCTCTAACGCATAGCATGTTATTGCAAAGACTATGGCTTAGGTCTGGTGCACCTTAGTTTCTAGAGTGACACAGTTGCTTCTTAGTGCTCTGGAGAGGTCTCTGACAGCTGATTTTCCCAGTGCAATTCACTTTTTGATTTCCTGACTGTTGGTGCCAAGAGGACTGATCGTTGAGCTGAACAAGCTGTAATTATTAACAACCTCAAATATTCTCCATCCATCATGATGCTGTCAATTGGCTCAGTGATGAGAATCTCTGTCTTCCTGATGTTGAGGTTCAATCCAATTGAAGACTACAGTCCTTGACCTTTTCTAGAAAGAGTTTCAGATCCTACTCAATTTCAGCAAGCAAGGTTGTGTCATCTGCATAGCACTGGTTATTAATGAGCCTTCCTCCAATCCTGATGCCATATTCCTCCTCATAAAGGCCAGCCTCCTGAATGATCTGTTTGTTATCTTACAGATCTAATTTTATATAAAAATTACTAAAGACTTAAATACAAAAGCTAAAATGATTAAGACTCTTAAAAGATAGAAAGAAATCATTGGCAATGAATTCTGAATATATATGTAGTGTGAATATATATGAAGTGTGAATATATATGCACAAGAAACAAAAGAAAAAAATTAGATAAATCTGGCCTTACCAAAACTTTTGTTATTAAGGATAACACTGAAATGAAGAAAAACAAAAACACCCAAAATAAAAACACCAAAAACCTAAAACAAGAATACAAACCAACTACATAAAAACAAAGTAAACAACCCACCAAACCCAGAAAATGGGAGAAATGAAATGTAAATCATGTATTTAATAAAAAGCTTGTCAAGAATAAAAGACATATAATTAAAAAAAAACAGGCTAAAATAAAGCTCTGAATAAGTGTTTCTCCAAAGAAGATACCCAAATAGTCTATAAGCACATGAAAAGATGTTTAACATCACTAGCCATCAAAGAAATGTAAATCAAAACCACAATAAGATACTATGTCATACTCACTAAAATATCTCTAATAAAAAGCAATGACAATGGCAAAATAATGACAAATTTTGGCTAGAATGTGCAAAAATTAGAACACTGAAAAGACAAAACAGCATTGTCATTTTGTTGAACAGTTCGCTATTTCCTAGCAATTCCATTCTTAAGTATATGCAACAGAAATGAAGGCACAGACACAAGTAAAAATTTGCAGACCAATGCTCAAAGCAGCATTACTGAGGACAGTGTCAGACTGCAAAAACTCCAATGCCCATGAATCAACACCTGTCTCTTTTTCTTACTCACTCCTATTTAAAAATTTTATATTTAATTTCCTTGGTGCAAGCATGATTTGAGCTTTATGTGACTTTGGCAACCCAAAGACAGCAGAGGTGGCTGACCCCTGCTGACCCAAGTGGTTAGGAAATACAATTTACTTTCCCCCAACCTTCAAGCAGAAATGATGAAAAAAAAATATACATAGTGGTAGACATATGAATAGATGCTCAAAATCATTGGCAATAATACAGATGCAAGTAAAAACCACAATGAGATAACATCTCACCCCAATAGCAGTGACAAAATCTAACAGGACAGCAAGCGATAAATGTTGGAGAGGATGTGGAGATTGAAACTCTCATACATGGTTGGTGGGACTGTAAAATGATACAACCATCCTGGAAGGCAGTTTGGCATTTCCTCAAAAAACTGAACTTTGAAATTTCACATATGACCTAACTACTTCACTGCTAGGAATATAGCCTAAGGAAAAAAGAACACAAATGGGTAATTGCACATCTATGTTTATAGCAGCGTTACTTACAATAGCCAAGAAAATGTAAACAGTCAAAGCGTTCACTAATAAACGAAAATACCGAGAAATTGTGGCACATTCATGTGATGGGATATTTACTAAGCAGACTCAGGAGCAATGCCTTTTTTAAAAATTTTTATTATTTTTCATGTGTATACCGTCAAATCGGAGCTGAATGGTACAGGAGGCGATTGTCCCTCCTCCAGCAGAGCATCTGGAGGATTCAAACTGTGTACCTCTGGGATTGCAGTGCAGCTTCTTGCCACTAGGCTACCAGAGCTCACCAGGAGCAATGATTTTGAAAAATACTATGTAACATGGGAGAAGTTGGAGAACATTATGCTGCGTGAACTACCTCAGCACCAAAAAGATAAATATTGTATAAGACCATTAGTGTAAAAACAGAAGGCTAACTAGTAAAATGTGAACAAAAGTACAAAGGGGGAAGTGTAGGAAGAAAAGGGGTAGGGTGAGGTGGTAATCTTGAGGCCACAGAGTTACGTGGGCAGAGGGAGAAACTAAAAAGCAAATAGGAAAGACCGAGAGGGGCCTGCAAAGTTAGGGTAATGGTGGGCACAAGTCGATTGTGATTAATTTTATAAAATACTATGTATGGGAATGATACCATAAAACCCAATGTGAGCTGAGGAAAGCATGAAACACAATCTCTTTCTTTCTCTGTATACACACACATATGAAATACAATCTATATGAATTTTGTATGCAAACCAATATAAAATAAATAGTGTTGGTCAACTAAAACACTGTCAAAATATGTAACAAGCCATAGTATTTTAAAATATATTTAATAAAACAATAAAAAATTGATATAAAGTTTACACTAGCATGTTTTTAAAAAATCCACCTATGGTTTAATATCTTTTATCTTTGGTTATTATTATTAAAGACTTTTTAGATTAAGTATTAGCTTGGAGGACAATCGATCCCATTATTATTTGGTGAAAGGCAGCAAACAGCCCATTCTCTTGTATGATACTGTCTAGTTCCCTCATACAAAGGAAAAGCAAATAACACAACTGCTACCCAGTATCTCTTTTTAAGCAGTAGATAATTTATAGGAGAAAGAATAAAGTTACAAAAAAAGCCTCTCCATATAAAATAGAATTAAAAACCAACTTAAAACATAGTAACTTATGAAAAAAAACTTTAACACTAACAGTTACCTGGTAATGATAGGTGGGTTGCTGATAAACTGGCTGAGCTACCATCACAGGGGAACTGGACATAGAACGTGACTGTTAGGGGGGGAAAAATAGGAAAATTAGTCTAGATAAAAACGTCTTAAAAGAATTTCTAATAAAAGTGACCTAAAACTGGTTTTCTAAACCTAGTCAGCTTCTGTTTCAAAAATTTTATTTTGCTCTTACTTACTTTATACCCCCAAGGTCCATTATTAAAACTTTTAACAGTATCCTACATGTAATGGGGTTTCATTTCCAAACTTGTGTTAAAGCAAATATTGTTAAGAGCCATCGAGTCAAACACAATGCAAAGTGACCTTATGAACAAAAGAACTGAACCCTGTTCTATAACTATTGCTGTTTCTCTAAGTTCATAGAGTTTCCAGAGATATGTTGGCTAGGAAGTGGATGTCACTCCTGCTTCCAAGTTTGTCTCAATCTGGGAGCTCCATCAAACATGGTCCACCATAGGTAACCATTATGTCATTTGATACACCAGGCACAGTGTTCAGTGTTCAACCCCAAGTATTCTCAGTACAGCAAAATGACAGTCCAGTGCTGTACCACTTAGAAGAATGTTAGTCCCTAAAACAATTAACACCAAGCCCAAGGGCAGCAGTTTCGAGGGCTCAACCAACTTTTAAATATAAGGCCCACCCTCCTGGTCGTGCCTGACTCTAAATAAGAGGGTTCCTGGCCACAGCTAAATCAAGCAAATCCAGTGGAGGTTGTGGATGAGTCTTCCTCCAATCCTGATGCCATATTCCTCCTCATAAAGTCCTGGGTTCCCTAATGATCTGTTCTGCATTATAGATAGAAAAAGTATGAAGACAGGATGCATCCCTGACATACTCCTTTTCTTATTTTGAACCATGCAGTGATTCCCCGCTCTGTTCTGAGGAATGCTTCCCGGTCTAAGCATAGGTTTTGCATATGCACAATCAAGTGTTCTGGAATTCCAATTTTCCTCAAGGAAGCCATAATTTGTTGTGATCCACACAGTAAAAAGCCTTTGCAAGATTTATTAAAGACAGTAATTATAACTGGACAAAATAAACAAATATACTAATGAAACAAAATAGCTTTGAAAGAAACATCCACACAAGAAAAATGTTATTTCACAAAGTTTCATTTTAAAAAAAAGTCTAATGACTTTTTATTTCAAAATTTTTCTACAGAGTTTTGGGGTTTTTTTTAAACTAATTTTTCTTTCCCCCATCCCTTCTCATCACTATTTATAATCCAAACTTGCTTCTTTCAAACTTGGGTATTTAAAAGCTTTCCTTAGCTTTTAATAATGGTGGTCTTAAATGGGAAGGTTAATTTTTAAACACTAGGAAAAAGAAGAAACTCTAGTTTTAACAAATGCAAAAAGCAGAAGTACTTTAGCACTTTAGAAACTAAATATAAGAGGTTCATATCTCTTAAGGAAAAAGTTTTTAAACAACATACTAAAAGCTGAAAGTATAAAATAAATCAAACACAACTATCAACACTAAAAAAGAACTTGTGTATGATAAAAAATATAATAAATAAATGAATGGGCAAGATATAATTGGCAAAGGAGCTATTTACAATCCATAAATTTATACAATGAACACAAGAAAAAGTTCAAGGGAAGAATGGACAAAGGGTAAGAATAGGTAATTAGCAGAGGAAACGCCAATGTATGAAAATGTGTTCCACCTTAGTATTTAGGATATAAAAACAAGATGTTGATGTATGCTGTCAAGTTGTATCTAGTCTCCAGAAGGGGAGGACTGATCATCCTTTTCCCATGGAGCAAATGGTGGATTTGAACTCATACCTTTGGGACTGCAGCACAGCTGCTTACCACTAGGCCATCTGAAGTCCCTCAAATCAAGACACCATTCCATAACACTGACAAAAATGTAAAAATACTTTATTTAAGAATTAATAAAATTAAGAAGAACTGGAGTTTTTGCCCTTGTAATCAAAACGGCATGCTACTGGTACAATAATAGACACAGACTGACAGAATAGAACGTAAAACCCAGAAATCAACCCATCTACTTATGTTATTGTGAAGTGTTCTAAAATTGAGTATGACCCATACTTACCCTAAGAACAACAGATCTGAACCCTGTCCTATCCTAAGGACATCCTCATTGTCTGACATGTTTGTGCCCATTGCTGCAGTTACCGTGTCAATCCATCTGGTTGATGGTCTTCTCTTTTGCGGACTCTCCACCTTCCCAAATGTCCCTATCTAAGCAACAGCTTTCCCAGCAAACTATGCTCAAAGTATGTGAGACAAAGCTTTGTCATCTTTGCCTCCAAGTAGCACTCTGGCTGCATTCTCCCCAAGACATATGTTTGTTCTTTTGGTGGTCGTCCATGAGATATTCAGTACTGTTCTCCAACATCAAAGGTCAAAGTCATCAGTTCTTCTTTTGTCATCCTTACTTACTGTTCTGCTTTCAGATGCATATCAAGTGACTGAAAAGAACATAGCCTGAATCAGGCACACCTTAAGTCTTCAAATTGGTTTCAGTAAGAACCACATGATCTTTCAGTTGATGGAGAAAAGGCTTTTGGCAAAATCCAATACCACTTCCTGATTAAAATACTCAACAAAATAGGAACAGAAGGAAATCTCCTATCATATGAAAATTATATATGCAAAATCAAGAGCAAACACTGTTCTCAATGAGGAAAGACTAAAGACATTCCCTTTGCGAACAGGGACCAGACAGGGATGCTCATTATCACCATTCCCATTCAATATTGTATTAGAAGTACTTGTTTGTCACTGTCCATTTGCTGGCAGGGAGCAGCAACATCCTGACGGCAGTAAGTGTGATGGAGACACACCACTCTAGGAGCGCTGCAGAGAGCCCAGGTGAGTAAACAGAAGACAAGATGGGGTAGACTTGTAGATGTGGAATATGTGGATTGGACAGGAGAACCTCAGCCCAGTGCAGTCCACTCCCAGCTCAAAAGATGTGGCAGCTATCTTACTGGGTGGCCAGTTTTCTCAAGCTAGCAGAGCCAAACAGAATAGAGTTTCTCTATCCCGTATTAAGGGCTGATGGGTCAGATAGGCTTGCACTTCTCTGGAGCTAGGCGATCTGCCTTGGCCAGAGGCCTCCTCCTCCTCAACACTTGCTAGGATAGACAAGAGAGTAGGAGGCATCCAGATTGGCAAAGAGGTGGTAAAACTGTCACTGTATGCAGACAATATTACAGGGTACAGAGAAAATCACAAGGCTCTACAAAAAACCCTGTTGTTGTTATGTGCCATGGAGTCGTCTGCGATTCACAGCGACCCTATGTACAAGAGCCCTAAACGCTGTTCTATCCTGTGTAAATCTCGCTGTCTCAAAACACATTCATTCCCACCACTTCACTCACAGAATCGATCCATCTCATCGAGGGACTTCCTCTCCTGTACCGTCCCTCCACTCTGCCAAATATGATGTCCCTCTCCAAGGACCAGTCCCTCCTTGCAACATGCCTAAATTATGGCAGACGAAGCTTCAGAATCCTTGACTCCAGGGAACATTCTGGCTTCAGCCTCTCCAGGACAAACCTGTTTGTTCTCCTAGCTGTCCATGGTATATTCAACACTCTTCTCCAGCATCACAACTCAAAGACATCAATTCTCTATCATCCCTATTCACTGTCCAATTCTCCGATGCATAGCACGTAATTGCAAAGACTATAGCCTGGATCAGGCATACCTTAGTGTCCAGCCTGATGTTGTTGCACTTCAGTAACCTTGAGAGGTCCCTCACAGCTAACTTTCCCAATGCAATTCATCTCCTGATTTCCTCACTGTTACCAAGAGTGTTGACTGTGGAGCCAAGCAAACTGAAACTCTTAACTATCTCAATCTCTTCACTATCCATCTGATGCTGCCAATTGGCCCAGTGGTGAGAATCTTTGTTTTCTTGTTATTGAGCTTCAATCCACATTGAAGACTGCAGTCCTTGACCTTCTGCAGCAAGCACTTCAGGTCCTCCTCAGTTTCAGCAAGCAGGATTGTGTCATCTGCATAACGCAGGTTTTGACGATTTGTCCATCAATCCTGATGCCACATTCCTCCTCGTACAGCCCAGTGTCTCAGATGATCTGTTCTGCATACAGACTGAAAAGGTATGGAGACAAAATACACGCAGGACGGACCTGTTTCTTAATTTTGAACCATCCAGTGTCTCCCTGCTCTGTTCTGACGACTGCCTCTTGGTGCAAATATAGGTTTCACAATAGCACGATCAAATGTTCTGGGATTCCCATTTTTCTCAGTCAGCCACAGCTTGCTGTGATCCACACAGTCAAAAGCCTTTGCATAGTCAATGAAGGACAGATAGACATTCTTCTGGTATTCTTTGCTTTCTGCCAAGATCTATCTTACATTATCTATAATATCCCTAGTACCATGACATGTGCCGTCGAGTCGCCTGCGACTCATAGCGACCCTATGTACAACAGCCCTAAACTCCGCTCTGTCCTGTGCCAATCGCACTGTCTCTGACACTCCCATCCCGATTATCCCAGTCACTGAATCAATCCACCTCATAGAGGGCCTTCCCCTCCTGCGCCGTCCCTCCACCCTCCCAAGCATGATGTCCCTCTCCAAGGACCGGTCTCTCCTCACAACATGTCCAAAGTATGTTAGACGGAGCCTCAGAATCCTTGCCTCCAAGGAGCCACCCGGTTTAACCCTCTCCAGGACGAATCTGTTTGTTTTCCTAGCAGTCCATGGTATTCTCAGTACTCTTCTCCAGCACCACAGCTCAAAGGCATCAGTTCTCCTTCTATCCTCCTTGGTCATTGTCCAACTCTCTGATGCATAACAGGTGATTGCGAAGACCATGGCCTGTATCAGACGCACCTTAGTCTCCAGAGAGACACCACTGCTCTTCAGCACTTTGGAGAGGTCCCTAACAGCAGACTTTCCCATGGCAATGCGCCTTTTAATTTCCTGGCTGTTGGTGCCAAGACTGTTGACTATGGAGCCAAGCAAACTAAAGCTGTGTACAATCTCAATCTCTTCACCATCCATCCTGATGCTGCCGATTGGTCCAGTGGTGAGAATCTTTGTCTTCTTGACATTGAGCCTCAATCCATATTGCAGGCTGCAGTCCTTGACACTCTGCAGCAGGCGCTTCAGGCCCTCAGTTTCAGCAAGCAGGGTTGTGTCATCCGCATAACGCAGATTGTTGATAAATCGTCCTCTTCTAAATCCAGCCCGCACATCTGGCAGTTCTCTGTTGACATATTGTTCTAAACGTTTTTGGATAATTTTCAATAGAATCTTGGTTGCATGTGATATCAATGATATAGTTCGATATTTTCCACACTCTGTTGGGTCACCTTTCTTTGGAACGGGAACAAATATTGATCTCCTCCAGTCAGTTGGCCAGCTGGCTGTCCTCCAGATTTCCTGGCACAACCTAGTGAGCACATCTAGGGCAGCGTCTGTTTGTTGAAATAAATCAGTTGGTATGCAGTCAACTCCTGGAGCCTTGTTCTTTGCCAATTCCTTCATAGCAACTTGAACTTCCTCCTTCATCACCATAGGTTCTTGCTCGTATGTTATTTCATGAAATCCCTCTGTGTCAGCCAATTCCTTCTGATACAGTGACTCTGTGTACTCCTTCCATCTTCTTTTTATACATCCTGGATCATTCAGCATTCTACCCAAA